GACTGACTACCAGTGATCAGTCAACCCGGTGGAAAGCGCCGGGCATTCGCCTTTGCCCTCTCACTTTAGTGTTACCACCGCCACGAGAAGGTAGCAGGGGCTATTTGAGACACTTGGTCGATTTGGGGGCATTTCTAGAAGAGTTCGAGACGAATGGCCAATTCGGAGCCCGAGGGTTGATAGTTCAGCAAACTAAAAACCCTAGGAAGGGATTATGCTATGAGATCAAAAATTGGGATTATGAAACTAATCACAATACAGCCTGGTTCATGCATTATCTCGAAAAGACCTTGCCTCTTGTTCGCGTTCTCTAATACACACACTTTCGTGTCTGTTTCATTCAGCCCCGTGTGATGCCCATTTACTTTGGCGCACCTTTCTCTCTGTCCACTTTTTGTGCCTTTTTGCCATTGTAAGCATATTTTAAATGCTTCTATTTCACCTGTTCTTCAAGCTTGATAATTTCTTTGCAAACGTTTCATCACCAGCCGAGGTGACATCATCAGTGCTTGTGACGTGATTGCCGATTGATTTCCATTGCTTTCCCTCCACGAAGATCAAGAAGGACATCGGTTTGACTTCATTCAGTGAAAATTATCGACCAAGCTCGGTCAAAACATGCCAGACTTGGCATTCCTCAATCAACTCAATAAAAACCGGCACATCGAACTGGATCACGTGTACACGCCAATGCAATTCAAGGATCAAATGACGCAACAAAAAAGGTCACACTGTGTGACCTGAGAACGGACCGAAACCGCAATCAGAATGGAGGNTACCAACCTTACCGCCACGCACCAGTTTAACGGCGAACCGAGTCGAACAGAGTGAGAACAAGTAAAAAAAAATAGTCGGTGGAGAAGAACCAACGGATACAAACAGAAGACCGTCACTTCACAAGCATTGATGATGTCACCTGGGCTGGTGATGAGACGTTTGCAAACAAATTGCCAAGCTCGGTGAACAGGCGAAATGGAATTCAGTTCACCTGAGCTACGAGAACCGATTTTCAATACTTTGTCAATATTTTAAGCGCATTCATCCAACACTGAATTCCGTGCCAATTTGAATTGTGATCTCTACCTGTTGTTACTCCCCACGGACCGCCATTTTTGAATCATCTTTATTCGACTCCGTCTGTTTCGTGTTTGCTGTTAGGAAAGAAAACATAAAAGACGAGTAGCGAGTCATCATCGCAGGACTTTGTTGACACATACTGCCACAAATCCCGCGGTAAATTCAATGGATCATCTCACTGGGGTCAGATAATTGCTGTTCGGGTATGGTTTATGCATGACATGTTTGCCAACAACAACAACAACAGGTTTGCCTGCTTTCGCTGATTACGCAATGTTTGTGCAAGTCGCTAAATAATTTGCCTGATCTTTCATCCTTATGCGATGCCCATTTATCTCTGTCTGTCTTGATCGCTCGCTCGTCTTTTGTGGATGAACTGAGTTTCAATCATTCGGGTATCTCCCCCCCCCGTGCATCATCGTCATTATGCCTTTGACAGTTGCCATATACACCTGTCGAGTACAGTATACTTTTTCGTGTATATGGTTGTGGGTAGTTATGCACAAAGTGATTGATATATTTCGCATTCTATTCACTTATAGTGCATGTGTTCGCCCCGTGTGATTTGATTGAACTATTCCCTCACCCGCCTCTCCTCGTGAACTGATCAAGGGTTTTGGAAAACGCCTACGCGCCTACACTCATGGATTTTTATCGCCTCGTGTGTTTTTCTTTTTCTCTCACACTTCAGACCGATAATGCACCCCCGTATGAGGTCGTTCCATCCATGCGCCCGGTTGTTCTCATCGGTCCGTCACTCAAAGGTTACGAGGTGACCGACATGATGCAAAAAGCATTGTTTGATTTTCTCAAGAGACGTTTTGAAGGAAGGTAAGTCCGATCCCGCAATATCAATTCAACACGTATATCGTTTTACTTGTAAAAAAAAGCAACTATTCGTTTGTGTGAGATCCAGTACTCTGAATTTCCTAATTTGCCTGATCAACTAAATTATACATTTTTCAATTTAAGATGCCATGTTGCCATGTGGATAGTACGACTGCACGTTTGCCCCATCTTTTTAAGTTGTCTTATACTTTTTTTTGTGATGCTTCTGTTGTCACGTTCAGTCTGTCCGTGTGATGATGACATGCCTGCTGTACACCTGAAGTTAACTGGACCTGTCTAAGATTCGCTAGCATTAGCTGGGCAAACGCCAGATCCTTTGACGCAGTTCAACTATCCGATCGGTCGTATGATTTTCGAGCTGGCATAGAAGGGGGATAAGTTCTGAATCCGATGCTGCTTAAGTGTTGGTTGAGAATCAGTTGTGCAGCGATGCATCATGTGGGAAATTGCGGAATGGAAAAAGTTCCAGCGATGATCACACTGGGCTAACCCTTGAATCGTCTAGGATACATACACCATTTTTCTACCGGATCCGGTAAACGGATAATCGTAATTAAACTTGGAACTTGTCTTAACTACGGACTACAATATCCATTAGTATAGGTCCACGCAATACTCTTCTTAGTATGTTTACTAACTGGCTGTTTTCGCGTTGAACAATCTATCTCGGATATAGAACTCCGGAGGACAGAACAAAGATTACAGAAAAATGCATATTTATTTTATTAAGTTTGTTCAGTATATTTTCCATCCAACTGCCTTGTATGGCAAAATACGGCCAATATAGTTTTCCTGCACTTTCAGAATAGTAACAGTTGGAATACTTTCGCACTGTTTTAACTCCTCAATCGTTCTCGGAGTTCAGGACTAAACGGTTCACTTTAGATAACCCCACAGAAAGACACAAATCAGGTGATCTTGGAGACCATTCCATTGGTCCTCCTCGGACAATCTGTCAACAGTTGAATTCCGAAACGAAGAAACTTCTCACCACCAGAGAGCATTGTGTAGTGATGCACCGTCATGTTGAAATCAAACTGTGGTACCAATCTTAGTTTTTATACGCCACCAGATAGCAGATACCACATTATCTTGTAACATGTGTAGGTACGGGGCTCTCAGGAGCATTGTCATGAAGTTCTTTTGACTGACTCTCTTTGAAAGAATGAGAGTTGTTTTGTTTTAATACCTTGAGCATTGAATACTCTGACATGTTGCATTCCTGGGCTATTTGCCTTATAATCGTCTGAGAATTGTTCCTTATTATATTGTTTAATGCACACCTCATACATACAAATGTTACAAGATAATGTGATACTTGACATCTGGTGTATAGAAACCGAAGTTGGTACCATGGTTTGGTTTCAACATAACGGTGCACCGCCACACAATGCTCTCTGGTGGTGGTGATGAGGTGTTCACAGGTGGGAGGGGGAAGACAAGATAATGCAAAACGATGAAGTAATCGTACTGGACTATCCACATAGCTACATGACATCTTAGATTGATGCTGTGACAACTTAAATTGATATTCGGACATGTCAAATTGAAAAAAGGTATAGTATCCAGTCAGTGATCAAAACCTATAGAAACAGATGGAATTGGTCTACTCGAATGCTCAGTTGTTATTGGACATTCAGTTTGAAGCACGGTGTTTGTAACCCTTGAAAGGATGTCTGAGGGACCCGGGACAAAGGATAATCGGTCTGGAGCAGATGAGATCACAGTCGCTGTTGGGATAACCACAACCTTTTGGTAGATTATTAGAACCGTCGCTACTGGATCAAGTAAACACACATAACATTCCTATTAGTAGTAACTGATCATTGCATTCATATTTCATTGCTTACTCCCCCTCCCCTCCATCCC